GATCATCCCAGAGGCCTTACCGTTTCTCACCCCTCTCCCGTTAATAAAGGTGGAATCTGCATCGCCCAGTCTTTGAAAATTCCCCACAACCCCAAGCTGGAAGATTACGACAAAGCCATCCAACAACTGCTGGAAACGCAGCACTCGCGGGCAGTCATCATCTTCGCCAGCGAAGAAGATATACGGTGAGGAGCGCCGCGCATTCTGGCTTCGCCCCGTGTCGCACGGGCGCGCTGATGGCTTGCCATGTTGACGTCTTTAATCTCCGAGCAGCAGCTCCCGCAGACAGGCCAGAGGCGCAGATTTACCAGGCGCACACGAACACACCTTCAACAACGCAAACACAACCCTGCCTCGGAGGAGACGTGCAAAATACAGATCACAACAAAGCAACAGATAGATACTGTTTCATTTACAATGCCCCGTGAAAAGTATTTATGTAAAGAAACAAAGAATCAAACATTTAGTGCTTGTATATTTAGAATGCATGCTGGTGAAATGTAGAAGAAACGATGAGCTGGAGATAATGCTTCTAACTCCCTGTTGTCTTCAGATAAAACACACAAAACGTATATGAACAAACAAAATGGCTCCTCTGCTTTCCCTCTCTGAACTTTTAATGAGATAAGCTGCACACGGCAGAGCTGTGATGTCCGAGCTCCTCCTTAAAGCTGGCTGTGCCTTTGTGTAATAGATATTGGATTGCATGCACCCCCTGAGCTATATCTCCTAATTCACACACGGTCGTCCTTGCAGGGGAGTTCTCAATTCCTCCAAGAGGGCCAATCAAGTGGGCCATTTCCTGTGGATTGGATCTGACAGCTGGGGGGCCAAGAGCAGCCCGATCCACCAGCTCGAGGATGTAGCGGTGGGAGCGGTCACTATACTGCCCAAACGCTCCTCCATTGAAGGTACGTACACGCTCTGTGCGTTTGTCTTTCTTTCTTTACTTTTAATTTTGTTGAGAGGAATCGCCTTCTGTCGTCTTTTATTTTTGGTTCGCCTAAAAATGTCTTATTCGGCGTTCGGTTGTAGTTACGTAGCTCCACCCTCTCGTGTCACTTCTGTTTGCAAAAGACAAAGCGAAAACCAAGATGGCGACACCCAAAATGCTAAACTCAAGCTATAAAACGCCACAAACCAATGTGTGACGTCATGGTAACTACGTCCACTTCTTATACACAGTATATGTCTGCAGGCCATAAAACCAAAACAACGAGCTAAAAGATGATGAACTGCTGACTCAGCTGTTAATTCTCTGTGGGGTCAGGACTTGGAGTGACCCCTCTCACATTTGATGTTCCCACATCTCCCTCATGCCTCGTCTATTTCTACTTCAGTTGGCAATTTTCTACATTTCTCACAATGACTTTCGACAATCCTCAGAGAACAAGTGTGACCTTGTTACATTTGGCCGTGGGTTGTACGCGACCAGACTAAAGTCAGTGTGGACAAATTGGCTACTCTGTCGATTTTATTAGATACCGGAACCAATAAATGAAAACTTTGTCACCTTTTGCCATCGTTTCAGATAAATGAATCCGTGTGGTTTTACACGTTTGTTTTTAACAAAGGAAAAGTCTCTGTGGAGAAATCAGTGTCTCTGGTCTCTAATGGATCAAAAGGATGAGTCAGAGAAAAAGCTTTAATTCAGTTTTTAATTTTAAGCATTGATGTCTTTTTATCGTTTTTAACAATTTCTGTCATCGAACTGCAAAAGAAATACTGTCATCAATTATATTCTAGTGCTTAGAGCTGCTTTTCTCTGCAGCTGCACCCACGAGGAGGTTGTCCTGTACAGCGTACAAATTGACCACAGAAATAGAATATTCACAGCAGATTTTGTCTGGTGTCACAGATCCAGACAACCACTCATCATGACAATCGAGCAAAAGATGTGAAAGTCTGAGTTGTATGAAGCTTCCCGTAATTAGGGGAGCTCGAGCACAGGACACATGTACACTCTGGAGGCAGAATATTATTAATCCACCGTGCATCATTGATGGTCTTTTGAAAAGAAAATCAGCTGAGTCATTCGGCTCCGATTAGACATTATCACCTCTACCCACGACTCATCTGATATGACTGGATAACAGAGAGTGGAGACACAGACAGAGGGACTTTAAAATGTGAAATGATTGTTATTCTCGAGGAAACTGTTCAGCAAAAGGTAAAAAAAAAGAAGAAATACTGCACCACGGTGAAGTTTGTCCCTGCTCAGTTCCCTGACCCACATCGGGTGGTAAAGTTGCACAAACAAGAGAACAAAATGCAGCATACAAGCTTTTCTTTTTCTTTGTTGCAGCAAGTTACCTCTCCTCAAGCTAACGCTTCACACAGGCGCCTAATGCCCGTTTGAAATGAGTGCTAAGCTAAAACATCATGCCTTCAATCTGTTTCTGTTATGGATTTAATGAAGGGAAGAAAAACCTGTGCAGCACCTGCAGGACCCTTCGGCCTGAGGCAACAGGCTGCGGCACCGCTTACAATCCCTGCGTTATTCACTATGCATCCTGTTTTTTAATTAATGTAATTTCCTAGATGAAAGAAGTGATTAAAGTTCCATGGGGCTTAAGAGGAAGAGGAACCTCCGTGGTCAATTTTTGATGAAGTAGTGCTTTTTTTTGCTGGGTTTTCTTTGAACACCGAGCGGCCACCAGCACCACCAACCTGCCGCGACACCGCTGCAGCAAGTTTTCCGCTTCATTTCCGATAATTGGTCCGGAACTGAGCCGTTCCTCCTCTTTTCCTCCACCCGCAGGGTTCGATGAATACTTCACCGGGCTCACCCTGGAGAACAACCGCAGGAACGTGTGGTTCGCCGAATTCTGGGAGGAAAACTTTGACTGCAGGCTCCTCAGTGCCTCGAAGAGAGAGGACACGAGCCGTAAATGCACAGGTACACCGGTTTTGACACGCGTGAAGTGGTACTACACTAATAGGCGATGCGTATCTTCACCCTCCCTTCCTTGTCAGGTTGTCATGAACTTGACCTTATGTTTCACATTAGTAGCTGCAGATCGACTGTTTTTAATTCAACCCTTCTTGTCTGCGGTGCAACCAGAAAGTCTAACACCAGGTGTTTGTGCCCAGCGGGCGCAGGACAGGCGGAGTTTATTATTAGAGTAATAATGTGACCATGCGTCTTAGTCATACTACAGTTACAGACCGTCTGCTCCTCTGGCTAATGTCCTGTAACTCTTACATCCCTTATTCCCTCTCTTCCCCCTTAACCCAGTCACCTTGACAGCTCAGCAGAGTCGTGCCGTGTGTACGAACTGCACAGAGCCAGGTGCACTTTATTTAGGTTGGAAATTACAGGCAAAATGACAGAAAGCAAAAGTGAATACCGCTCATGCCCCCATTCTGCTTTATCACTGTCTTCGCAGCAGCATTAATGATAGTGTTGTTAACAGTGATGCATTCTCGTATTACCTAAACTGTGCCTGTCAACGGTTTGACAGGCATTGCGCTGCATTCATTATCCTCGTCGGATGATGCCTGTGATGTGGGATGCTGTATTAATTCTTGCTTGCATACGGGATGACGGTAATGGCAGCGTGACACAAATGACTGTTTGCAGAAGGGGTTTGGTTTCCTTCATAATCTCCTGTTTGCCGTCGTTTGTCATGCGTCAAAGACAAGAAGATGCTGGTCCACTCAGTGAGCCCCACCATCCCTCTGTAAAATGCCCATAAATGTCTTTTTTTATCTTCTCCGTCTCTATATTCTCTTCCTTCTACACAAGCAGCCGAGCTGATATTTATGAAGGCTGAATACTGGGAGACGTTTGCGTTAGACAACTGTCCATTTAGCATCCTGTGCGGAGCTTTGAAAAGCAGGAAGGTTATGCGTGGGCTGAAATGTGTGTTAAGTTCTGAAAAATGGCCCGAAATGTCAGCATAGATTGCTTCTGACCTCCTTTAGTTTATGCAAGTCTCCCACATTCTTACATGTGTCCTATTACCACCATCTGCCCCACCGCGGAGCTCTCCATGGGAGCTAAGAGCAGCTATCACTGAGGAGAAGTCTGTCTTTTATTTCCTCGATGCTGCCTTTTTATTAACTGGGAGCTTGAATATTGAGATGATGATGATGATTGATGATAATTATGATGATTAGTGTCACTAAAAGTAATAGTAGTATTTTTGTTGTTACAATATGAAATGCAGCTTTCATCTGCCGGCGGTATAGAATAGCTGTTTCTGTTTTTCTTCCAAAAACAGAAACCCAGCTGAGGTTGAACATTACGTATTCAAGCAGAGTAACCAGCAGCGCGAGGCAAAACCTTTACAGCAGCCCATAGTGAAAGGGCAGTGCACTGGGAAGAGGATATAAAAGAGCAGGAAGCCACTGTAGAAGAGTATGTTACTAAAGTTCATGGCGATCTTCATCACCTTGCAGAGTGAGGCCCCGTTCTCAGCAGCCTATCGCTCAGCAATACGCCGCCGTAATTCAATCCGAGCCCCGCCGCATTCGTCACAAACACTCTGTCTCACAGCTCTGCTTGATGTTTTCCACTTGGGAATTAAATGTGTCTTCTTACTTTGCTCTGCCACATTGTCCCTTTAGGTGTTAATTCCTACAAAATCACAATTGAAGTCGGTGGCAGCAAATGGTAAATGGAGGAATAAAAACTGAAGCTGGGGATGATAGCGGGTGCTGAGAGGATGTAATGTCTAATGGCTCACGGTGTGTTTGCCTGTAAGTTCTCCTCCTTCTCCCCTTTTTTCCCCCTCCCTCAGGCAAGGAGCGCATCGGGAGCGAATCCAAGTACGAGCAGGAAGGGAAGGTGCAGTTTGTGATTGACGCGGTGTACGCCATGGCCCACGCTCTGCACAACATGCAGAGGGAGTTGTGTCCCGATCATCCTGGCGTTTGTCCACAAATGGAGTCCGCCGAGGGGAAGACTCTGCTGAAGTACATACGAAGCACCAGCTTCAACGGTGAGTGACGCATTGGAGATGTTATCAGATGCTCACAGAATGCATGGGTAAGAAAAGTCTAATGTTTTTACTTTCTGCAGAGTTTTGGACATTTTTGATACAGTATAATCAACAGTAGATTAGAATGATATACTTCACTCAAAGAATGTGTAAACATAATGAGGTAAAAGCAGGCGGCAACCTCCAGTTCTGAAAAGTGAAGCCAGTGCTGAAGTGCCTTACACTTGCATTCTGTCTAATGTCCACCAGGGGGCGACTCCTCTGGTTGTATAGAAGTCTATGAGAAAATGACTAAAAACTAGTTAGTTTACAAATGAGTTTAAATGAGCCAACTGACCCTTCTACATTAGTAACAAGAGAAGCTCCACATTGTGGGATGTGCACTTATTTGTTTTCATGCTGAGAGTTGGATTATAAGATTGGTACGACTCGTGTGTTACGTGTGTAGGCTAAATATAAAGTTACAGCCAACAGCTGGTTAGCTTAGCACAGTGACTGGAAACAGAGGGGAACATTTAGCATGGCTCACCTCTAAAGCTCACTCATTCATTGGTTTGATCCGAACCAAAAGTGTGAAAACAAGTTGTGGTTTTGAGACGTAGTTCGCTACAAAACCTTCCGTGGAACAGCGAACACGCTAAACAAACGAGATACAACGTGTTCGTTAACTAGCGTGGAAGGTGCTGGTACTAAATGTTGGTGGTCAAAGCTCACTGTGACCTCACAAACGCATCTCTGGCCATAACGCAATAATTCAAATGCTAATTATGACGATTTCACACAAATAAAATGATGAATGTGATGACACTTTGGACAGACATGGATGTAAACTCCAACACGACTTGTAATTCTAGTTTTAATCCTTGATGGAGCCAGACGAGCTGTCTTCATGCTAATTATTTACTCTCCAGGCGCCAGAGAGGTTTAAATGTTTTCATCTAACTCTTGGCAAGAAAGCAAATAAGCATATTCCCCCAAATATCAAACAATTGCTTTAAAACCTGCAGACACGTAGGAAATTGCCACAAATATGCATATTTGATCAAGCTAACCGCAGCACATGAATGTTCATGTTAAACCCAGAATACAGCTGACAGGCTGGAGTCTGGCATGAACCTTCTCATCTAACGCTTGGCAAGATAGACGAACAATTCATTTAACCACTGCTTTATCCTCCAAGTACTCAAAGCTGCTGTGTCCACACCAATCCACAGTGTGCTTTCAAAAAGCAATTTAGAGAACAACTCAACTGTGGACATATATGCAGTTATATTGGGAGTATAACGAGCATTACATTTAATTTAATGACTTAATCAATAATACCACCTCCTCTGTTTTATGCACCTTGTTTCTTGTGGGCTTCTACAATGTAAATCTGCATTCAGCTTCATTCAAAGCTCAAACATCTCTTGGATCTGTGTGATATTTTGAGCCGATATGATACGTTATGGGTCTGCCGGCACTTCAAACTCTACATTATTCAGTCCCGCACAGAAAGTGATGAGGAAGATACTTAACAATTAATGGCAACCAGCTATTAATGACAGCGGCTCTGAAATGCAGAAGTGAGTGGAGCAATGGCCCCAAATGGGAGATGAGTTTAATACAATAGAGGCCTCTTGTCATGACAAATGCGCTGGCGTGTATATCAGCCAGTCATCATTGGAGGCTCTTCTGAAGTACGTTGTGTCTTTTCAAAATGATCTAGATTAGATTCAGCTGTTTAAAGTCAGAAAACAGCGCATGCCTCTTACTAAACTGGCCCACTTTTAGAGGTGGACCGAGCTCTTTTCTTCAGTGTTAAATACTCCACTATGATGCTTTATATGTAGGATTTGATGAGACATGTGGGGGAAAAGTGTACTTGTAGGTGTTTTACCGGGATAGACATTTTGTACCAACAAGTCACTAAAGATCCTGGTGTTTCGTTTCATTTGATTCTTTAAAATTTTGCCTCATTTCATTGTATGTTTCCAACACTAAATCTTGCACAAAATATAAACTGCAGTCTAAAAAAAACTAAAAGAAGCAAAGAGAAGGAAACCCGTGCTTCTTTGCCTCAATGAATACATGAAAAAGGCACAAGTATAAACTAATACTTTCAAATACAACATATGCACTTTAGCACTCTAAAAACCATAGGCAGGGAATGAGACAAATAGAAAAATGTAAAAGAAATTGGGAAACAATTCTGAAAAAGGAGCAAATAGTGTTTTTGTTTGGGACTATTTTTTGCCGCAGATTAATACACATTTGCTGCACTGGTGAGTATTCCGGCAGCGGGGCGGTGTATGTGGGATGAAGATAAACAGCAGAGCCCATGTTTAGCATAATTAAGTGCACTGATGTGACGTTTGATGTGTTTTTAATAGTTTCGTGGAGGTCTGAGGCGCAGAGGAGTACGATGTACCAGGCTTTACACAAACAGTACTTAGTTTGATTGATGTTAACAAGAAGAACATCAGAATCTCTCCAGCATTCTTCTTTAACAGATTATAAATATAACAGGCGACACTACGCTGGAAAACTATGTGGTTCCCGTGCACATTTTCTGTTTTGTTGATCAGTGTTTGCAACACATTGATCCCGATCACTTGTGCACAAAAGACAAACTTGTGTCAGTGAGCTAACGGCTAAAGAGCTGCCGGCCGTCCTCTAACACTGTCGCTATGGCAGCGGTGCAGAGCTGCAGCAGACGAGAAGCCCACAGACTTTAAGGTGGAACTATGGAAACAGAATATATATATATATATATATATATACTGTGTGTATATATGCAGTTGCATGTGCAGCTAAAATTTCAAGGAGACCTTAAGTAAGAGCAGATTCATGCAGGGGATGGAGAATCTGCTGTCCAATCTCAACAACCATCTGGACATGTGCTGAATATTTTATTTTCAGCTTCTGAAAAATATTCACCTCCGTGTGGCACTGACAACGAAGAGCATGTTCATTTCACCTCAGCCAAAAATAAGATCACTACCTTCTCAACCCCTCTTCTTCTTCTTCTTCTTCTTCTTCTTCTTTCTTTAACTGGCAAGCAGAGGTCGTTTCTGCTGTGGCTCCGTCAGCTGTATCTCACTGCCCCTCGCTGCATTTAGAGACAGGAACCACGCACGTTATCCGCTGCATGTGCAACTGCTAATGTATGTTTGAGAGCGAAGGAGTGTAAGCCTCCTTTGTTGATCTCCCCGCTGTGCTGGAGTCACAGAGCTGAAGAGTGAGAGGCACAAAAAAAAAAAAACGGGGAGAGAATAATGATGCGAAAGAAACACAGCAGTGGATCCCCAGTCCACCCACACTGCTCGGCGCAGCGGCAGTGCACTTTTGTCATGTCTTAGTTCACAGCCACATGCCAACGCATGCATCTTTCATCTTAGACAGCGTTCTTGCGGAGGAGCCTACACAGACCGCTTTGCCTCCTTGAAGACATCAGGCAATAGAAAACAGAACGGAATTTCTAATGCTGCCTATTTTCTTTTTTTAATCTGCGCACACAGAGACGCCGCTTAATTATTTGCTCTAAAGCTGAAGAGCGCCAAGTGTCCAATCACTCATGTCACTTTGCTGAATGACTTTTCTGTGTTTGTTTGTGTTGCTGTACGTGGTTCCTTTGCCGGGTCGTAGAGGAAGAATGATGTCCCTGTCATCGCTTCTGCTCGCAGGAGTCAATACCTTGTCAACATCTTCATTCACTGTGTCAACGAGTCGACTGTCTTGTTTGGTGGAGGCAGAAGTGACAGCGCGGTGACTGCCACCCACTGAGTTTTGGTTTGGTTTGTAGCGTTGAGGGAATTTTTTTTACTACTACGGGCTTCACAAGCAATCAATTCTGAACACCCGTCCTGCTTTAGTTAATGTGCCGACACACCGATGCTTGTGAATTAGGGCCATTTCTGCATTGTTAAAGTGAAATATATGTGCTGTCACTTTGCATAACAGCAGATAATGAGGGGTTTGTGGCTCTGCATCAAGGTCTTATAAACTGACATTTATAAAGCAAAATGGTGTCACAAAGTCAGAATGGAACATTTGGGTGCTTGTCCACGGTGTTTTATTTATACTGCCCCCGTATTCTGTCACCTGAAATGGGCTTTTTCTTTTTTTTTCACATTGCTACCTCTTGTCTCTCTTGTTTTACAAGAGTCTTGGGGCCTGAAACTTTTGTAGAATGCTCAATGACAAATGTCCTTGGAAGAAAAAGCTGGAGGGACATGAAATTCCCTTCTGGCTAAAAAAAACTAAGGAAAAAGGTGCAGTGTCCTTCCATCCAAAAGCCACGAGTTCTGTTCCAGATAAAAAACCACCACATGTTCCCAAAAGGGTTTTGGACATATGCTCCTGGTCCTTCCTCTATACTTTTTTTTTTATAGCCAGAGCTATTAAAGTCCTTAATTCCCATGCCAAGTGTCATCAGACTCCCCTCGTCCCATTTCAAAGGTGGTATCTCCATTCGTGCTTACGAGCTGCTATATGCAGTGCCAAGGTGAATTCTTAAAACGCAGCACTTGTTCATTGTCTCAGCATTGTGCGAAAGTAGAAGTGACCTCATCAACAATGCAGACCTCATGTATAAAATAGAGTACAACCGTTCTTTCCCATTAATGCCACTCAGCATTGGCTGCTGCGAGGGAGATGGCATCTGCATCAACACGATATCTCGCTCCGACTCTGCAGTCATAATTGAGCGATATTGCACACGCGGACGCAACTGACGGGCCCGAGAGCTCGCACAAATACCCATTAAAAAAAATAAATGAATAATGTAATGTTCCTCGTGCGTAATGTTTCAGGTGTGCGCCGTCCTCTCTGAGCTCATTAGTGAAATCTTCATGGCTCTGCTTGGGACAGGCTGCTGCACTCTGAGAGCAGATGGGGACCATATGATGCTTTGGCTGACCTGTTTATCCTCCCTGCAGCCCCTGTTGTTGTCCCCTGTGTGATTGGAATGCATTGCTTTTGACCCGAGGAGGTGTTTTTTTCTGATACGTGAGCACGGCCCAAGAGGTCACACATCTAAGCATGTATACCAATATGAAAATGAATTCCTCCAGAGGCCATCGTGCAGCCGCGATGATGCATAGGAAGCAGGTGAGGAAGTGTTATATTGGTCAGTAGGGAGCGTTCTTCCCTGTGCTGATTATCATAGAGGTTATTGTGTTTTAACTGGGAGTAGCAGATTTAAAGCCTGTGTGGTCCATGAGGGCCTCCACCACTGTGAGGGTTAAAAGTTCATGTTTTTGCTCTTATTAGAAGAGGTGCTGTGCTCTGTCACACCAGCGTCTAACACTTTTCATCCATCCCTGCTTTTTGCTCTCTCTCTCTCTCGCTCTGTACAGGCAGCGCCGGCACCTCGGTCATGTTCAACAAGAACGGCGATGCTCCAGGACGCTACGACCTGTTCCAGTTCCAGATGACCAACTCCTCCACCCCAGAGTATAGAGTGGTGGGCCAGTGGGTGGAGAACCTGCAGCTCAGGGTATGACGATGCACCGACACCGGATACACAGACGACAGAACAAAGAACCTTGTTCAAATGCTTGTGTGTCTAAGCAGGATGTCTGCGCTCAGCGACGCGAACGATGTACAAGCACTAAGGCTTTCTGTGTTTTCAAAAGATTGACATCTCCTGTGTGACAAAGGGGGGGGGGGTGGTTTGCACATTATTAGCATCTCAAATGCGGAGAGAGCTCAGGTGCAGAAACGTCTTACTTTCAGCCTAATTGGTGTATTTTAGGTGCAAAAACAGAATCTAGCGAGGGTAAAGGATTTGTTGCCTACTAATGTGAGCCAAATGTTAAACATATTCCAAACTCCTACAGTAAGTTACTATTAGACTCTTATTGTTAAATAAAACACATTTATATTCATCATTGAAACATCTTTTCAAAGATTTGCAAATTATGCAGAAATGTGCCAACGGCTGCTTTTAAAACGAATAAAAAACATGCACTTAAACCGTCAAAAGGTGTAAACGTCGGTGTGTAAAAGGTGATACAACGCGGTACTTTGAGTCAGTCACATTGTGAATGCTGTTAAAAAGGGCTTTGATATGTTTCCACCTGTAAAAGGATGTTAAAGCTTCAGTGAGGGCTTTATTAGAGAGTTCAACACTAAAAAGAAGAAAGTAGAAATAAGAACGACAATTAACAAGATCATTTGTTGGAGATCACTCTTCTCCCACTGCATGAGGATGGAAGATGTATGAATGGGAGGAACAGAACAACACGTTTTTAACCCAAGTGAAGATGTTGGTGTTGTTGCAAACGGACCTCCTGTGTTACTCCCGGTGCTCTGTAGCTTTTACTCTACATGATGAAACTCTAAATCTATGATCACATCTTGTCAGCTACACCCACGACAGCACACAGAAGGACTCTAATAGGAGAATATGTGACAATTTAACTTCCACATTCAAAAGATAGCAGAAGCCATGAGATAACAACACGGATTTGGGCATTTTTTGTTTCATGGGAGCTTTAAATAACTACCTACAAGAACAAAAAATGATGTCTAACATCAGGTCAGGTGTGGAGCTGGAAGACAGCTGCTGCACTGCTTTTATTGGTGCAAGGTGTTTGGTTTGTAGCCGTCAATGACGGATCTCACTGTCACAACACAAGAACGGGCCCCGATGATTCATGCGGACAATAAAGACACGGATGAGTTTTGTTCTACTTCAAGGCAAACAAACTGCGCATGCTTTAAGACGGGATGAGACCCGAGTGGAACATTTTCTCTGCAACTCCGATTACACATAAAAACATGAGATTTACATACAGATGACTTAACATTTGCATAATGGCTTTCTGGTTCACCAATTAAACTCAACGGAATGGATCGGATGGCACAGGTGGAACAACGTCTGTTGCCGAAGATTTGTGCTGCACTCTTCTTTTTTTTTTTTTGTGTGTGATTACAAACTAATATGCTGCTACAACTCAATTCCATCCCAATGCAACAGCTCTCACTTTGTTCAGTGACGCACGCGGAGCAAACACGTCGGAGGTTCATCCTGATGCGCTTTTACGTTCATCGATAGCTCAACGTAGCGCTCACAAAAAGCTCTAATCGTCATTTTAAAATTAACAACCGAAGCGAAGCCAAAATGAAGCACTACGGCAGCCGCATGGGTCCAAAGGTGTCGAAAATCTCGCTTCCGGTCTCCATGGCAACAGAGCTGTTGGTCTCATTACTGTTTCCACGCTGTGTGTAATCGGAGAGAGCATCGTCCAAATAACAAATGGCTCCTTCATGACCCCAGATAGATGGCAGATGATGATCTATCCAGACACCGCAGAAGCAAGACGTTTCTCATACAGGTACACACTCACACACACTGTAGGTGTGTGTGTGTGAGTGTCTCTGTATCTGCAATTATTGGCAGTTGCCACATTTGGAGGAGGCGACACTGTTGGTATCCTTGGCTGGATTCCTGTTGTATGTGATGATATTTTCACCTGATGGAGTTTCTTTTGCTGCTGACGTTCATGTTTCAGATTAACATGAGTTATGTGAGTGTTTATGTTTCAGATTAACATGAGTTATGTGAGTGTTTATGTTTCAGATTAACATGAGTTATGTGAGTGTTCATGTTTCAGATTAACATGAGTTATGTGAGTGTTTATGTTTCAGATTAACATGAGTTATGTGAGTGTACGGGTACAAGAGGTGAGACGGTGGTTAGTCCGGGGCGATCTCCCCGTGTTTGATGTTTGCTCAGAGCGGATTGAATTCCATTTGGCGCCACAGAAAACTAACAGATGAGCGGGGAGGAGAAATATTGCATTTTGACATTTTGTGCATAAACACTTTTTTCCTTTTCTTGCAGAGAATTAGACGACGAGATTGATGCCACACTCATGTCTGTATGCTGCGTATGAGCCAGCTTAGTTTAACAGAAATCTGCCTGCCTGCACCTCTAAAGCTCTCTAATTAGCAGGTTATGTCTCGTATGTTTGATCGGTACGAAAAAGTGTAAAAATGACAAGCGGTGGCTTTACAGGGGTTCTGTGTGTCAGACTGTGACATTGCCAGGCAACGAGCACTGGTTTTGTTTTGTTACACGGATTAAACAAACTAGATAGCACACGCCAATTAGTGAGCTTGAGAGGTTGTGGATTGGTTGGGGGCAGGCTGTGTCCTCATGCTTCTAGTTGTGCTAAGCTAACCGGCTGCTGACTGCACAGCAGCTTTGTATTTAACGGACAGCCATGAGAGTGGGATCAATCTTTTCATCTGAGTCTCAGCAGGAAAACGAGTGCGTTACTTTAAAGGTGCACCGTGGAGTATTAAAGGTGTTCCTCTCTAAAAATGCATTGTGTGCATCCTTGAGGTTGAACAAAGGTGATGCATGCCTGTCCATCCTCATAAGACGTAAACAAAACCAATTTAGTATTTAAAATCATGCATCTTCTAGATCCATTACTGCATTCCTAATCCATTTTCTTTTTACTTTTAGTACAAATCTGCAGCTGCCTTTTCAAAGTACATATTGTTGCATGCAGGACGCATTCATCTTAACGCTGCACCTTGAACTTTGAACCTCTTGCTCATATATCAGGGTCAGAGCAGCCAGAAAAGCATACTGCATTTACTACATACTATGTATTTGGACATACTAAATCTTTTCCTGGCGTACTAGATAGCATTGGAACACACAGCTTGTCTGCTAGCGTGCAGTCTTCTTCCTCCTTGCCTTTGCTGCTGGCACGCTGCTGTGTTTCTTGGCGCATCACTGCCACCTGTAGATGAGTGTAACGGTGTGAAGCTGTTGGCCGGACTGCGTATTATGTCACTCGTGTGCACGTACGTCCTTGTGAGCGTATATGAGACGATGAAAAATGGGGACGCGTTCATAAACGAATGCTCGATGGTTCTCAAACTCCACTGGGTTCCTTTAAGCAATGAACTCACTTCACATTAAGGGAATTTAATTTGTGTTCCTCTCCCATGTAGTGTAATGCCACTCTGTCTCTCAAAGCACCTTTTATATCTGACATGTCGAGCAGATTTAGAGCAAAGCAAACACCTGTTTAATCATCATACCACTGGAACGTGTAGCTCTGTTTTTGTTTGTAAGTGATTTATTTTGGTTACTTGGCTCACACCATACGTTGCTGTGAGAATCATGAATCTTCTGGTGCTTTTTTAAAGCCATGGATCAGTAGACTTTCATTATAAATCAAAAGATCAGCTCAGAGTATTATGAAAGCTTTTATAACCCGAAAAAATAAATATGTAAGAGCCCTAAAAATTCCATTTCTTCACTGCTGCTTTAAGGCTGACTTGTGCGCTGAGATTATAGTGTGAGTCTAAACCATGAAGCACCTCGGGGCCTTCCCTCGATTGGACTTTCAGATAGTTCTTCGGTGCGTCTGTATACCGCAGCGTTCATTCTGATGACAAGATCATAAATAGGAATAGCTCTGCAAACTCTAAAAGAGGCATTCTGCAATCCCAAAGTCCCATTCCCCGTCCTTATCACCACATATTTCATACCTCACCGGCTTCTGTATTAAAACATAATGTCTTTTGCGTCTCCCGTTCCTTTGTCTTTATCTCACTGAACAAAGGTGGGATCTGTTGCCATGGTGATTTCAATTACTTTCAAGTATTAGAAAAGGCAATCCCTCCAAGAAGCTGGGAGGAAAGATGAACTGCGTTGGTTTAATTGTTTTTTCGAATGGGTTCACATCTTTTGTGCATGCTCGCAGAGATTGCATTGTACTTTGTTCTTGCAAAGAACCTCATGAGGAGCATAATGTAGTAATTAACGGCTTAATAAGTTGTGACTCACGGCCGGTGTTTCTCTTCATCCACATGGTTTTTCACATTCAGCGGTACCTCCGGTTTATCGCTCCGTCGCTAACCCTGTCTCCCTGTGCCGTGTGTCATCTCTCCACCAGCTGGAGGAGCTTCAGTGGCCAGATGGGGAGCAGGAGGTGCCCATCTCGGTGTGCAGTCTGCCCTGCAAAACCGGAGAGAGGAAGAAGAGGGTAAAGGGCATGCCGTGCTGCTGGCACTGCGAGCTGTGCGACGGCTACCAGTACCAGTACGACGAGACTTCCTGCCGACTGTGTGCCTACAACATGAGGCCCAACCCCAACAGAACCGCCTGCCAGCCCATCCCCATCGTCAAGCTGGAGTGGCACTCCGCTTGGGCGATCATCCCCGTCTTCCTGGCCATGCTCGGCATCATCGCCACCATCTTCGTCATGGCGACGTTCTTGCGCCACAACGACACCCCCATCGTGCGGGCGTCGGGCCGAGAGCTGAGCTACGTGCTGCTAACTGGCATCTTCCTGTGTTACATCATCACCTTCCTCATGATCGCCAAGCCCGACGTGGCCGTGTGCGCCTTCAGGAGGATCTTCCTGGGCCTGGGCATGTGCATCAGCTACGCGGCGCTGCTCACCAAGACCAACCGCATCTATCGGATCTTCGAGCAGGGCAAGCAGACGGTTACGGCCCCGCGCTTCATCAGTCCCACCTCCCAGATCGCCATCACCTCCAGTCTGATCTGCGTGCAGCTGCTGGGCGTGCTGGTGTGGTTCGCCGTAGACCCTCCGAACACCATCGTCGACTACGACGAGCAGAAGACCATGAACCCCATGCTGGCCCGCGGCGTGCTGAAGTGCGACATCACAGACCTGCAGATAATCTGCTCGCTGGGCTACAGCATCCTGTTGATGGTGACCTGCACCATCTACGCCATCAAGACGAGGGACGTACCGGAAGACTTCAACGAAGCCAAGCCCATCGGCTTCACTATGTACACCACTTGCATAGTCTGGCTGGCCTTCATCCCGATTTTCTTTGGCACGGCCCAGTCGGCAGAGAAGGTGAGTCATTTCTTTCTCTGTAGCTTTCTCTCTCTTTGTCTTGTCTCTCTCCCTCCTCTCACAAATTCCTCTTTCATTCCTTCGGCCCTGTTTTTATCTGGTCCAAACACATGCGCACATGAATATTTGTACAAACGCAAAATGAAAACACAAACGGTGCATAAAGGGAGAGCTCGTACACACACACACACACACACATTTAGTGACTGTATAAGTTATGGTTCATTTTCTTTTGATTTCACATTCGCACGGCTCTGATTTGCTTGGAAACCCACACTAGGACCACCGCAGACAGAAATAGGCATAGAAAGGCGGAGGAAGGGGTTGATGTTCAGCAGCAGGATCCTGGAACGCCTGAGGAGCGATGCGGATGGGGGTGCCAGCAGCTCCAGATGCCATTATCTTAACTCTCACTCGCCTTGGGCTCAACACACACTGTCATGCCTGATTCTGGAGAGGGAGACGAGTGGGCCGAGGAGCTGGAGGAAGAGGAAGAGGAGGAGGAGGAGGAGGAGGAGGAGCTGGGGGAAGGAGATGTTAAATAGAAGTTTGATTGAACGCATTCCATCTGTTGACAGCTGTGCTCTACTCAACAAAGCATTTGACACCGGGTGTTACTGGAGTTGATTGAGAATATGACATTCTGACCCGACGCTCTAGTCATTTTTTATCTGGCAAGAGAGCGCCGGACAGAATACAGATTTGTCTCCCGGACTCGTGAGCTGCGCGTGCGAGGCGCGGCGGACGAGCGGACGGGGAAGTTTTCCACTGACAGAATATCGATGCCGACAGGAAAGTGTTACTCCTAACCTTTTGAGAGGCACGCCGCTCAATATCCTCCCCGCTAAGCTACCGCTTGAGATGGATCAGAAACTGATTCTCCTCATCTCAATTTGCTGCTGATTTCATAGATGAATTACACCCTCAGCAGCGATTAGGAGTTCATTATGTTACTCGGGGCGACTAGCGAGGCAGTAATGTGTTTATCTTTCCCCTTTATGCAGTTAATTCTTTCTTCACACCGGCTCCTGCCTCACGCTCACACCACAGCGTCCTGGTGGAATGGCCTTCGTGGGCGCATTTCTGCCAACTCCCTAGCCACTGCAAGTGAGAAGTGCCTTTGCATGTCTCCATAACATCCTTTGCAGGAGCTGCAGTGTAGTTAAGGTGAAGTGAGGCTGTCCCGTACATTATTTCATCTTACTTATTCTTAAGTTTTCAGTATGAACAGGCATTCTCTCATATACCTTCATGAATACTTCACTAAACATATTGGTGTCGTTGTTGATAGAACTAGAGCATTTGAGTCCCGTTCACACTGGACGGGAAACAGTTCATCGCTCTCCATTGACTTTGTGTTGTGTGAAGGTGTTTGTTTGTCGCTTTTGTCTGCTAGCAAACAACAGAAAAATGTTTAAAAGCAGCAGTGTGGTGGGATTCACTACCAACACGGTAAAGAACCAGGAACTGAATTTTTATAAGCTGCCGAACCAAAACGACTGAGGATACAAGCAATAAGACACGAGGCATACACAGGAGGAATGCACACTCTGTATGTCTAACGGTACATGTCCAGCAAGCATTCTGTCCACATGTCAGTTTTAGGCTAGCTATATTTCTGTAAGTCAAGCTACACATTTTTTTAACGGTATGTAAGTTGTGTTATAGTAGAATGTGGATGAGCCATGCAGTATTTTATGAAAATGCGTTGGCTAACTACACTAACTTGTTACTTGTTAACCAGGTGGCAAGTTCAGGTTCTAAAAAGTGAAGCCGATGCTTCATGTCATAAAGCTGCATTCTCTCTAGTGTCCACCAGGGGGCGACTCCTCTGGTTGTATAGAAGTCTATGAGAAAATGACTCTACTTCTCTCTTGATTTATTACCTCAGTAAACATTGTAAACATGAGTTTATGGTCTCAATCTCTAGTTTCAAGTCTTCTTCAATACAGCATGATGTTCATTTAGTACATTATGGTCCATTTAGAGTCACACAGACCATAAAGCAGGGGATGCTAAGATTTCTAGCTAGCTACAGCCATTTTGTTAGTGTTTCAGGTGTTAGTTGCATATTGTGGCACCGATACTTTTCCCCTCCGGCGGGCGTGGTTTTCATAGTATGACGTGTTTCTCTGTCTCTATCGATGAGATAAAAGATGTGTGCGCGTGAATGTTAACGAACTGTTGGAGGCTAGAAGGGATCCGGTGTGATGCATTTGACTACATCCTCACTTCATAACAACCTAGACTTGCTGTGTTTATAACTGCAGAACCCTCAGATCTGAATTATCTCTCTCACCCCAGGTTGTCCAATATCAAAAGATTTATGACAAACTCCGGGACGATATGAAACCAGCTGGCAGTGATCATCAGAGCTGTTGGACCATATGTTGTTTTGCTGCATTGTATTGTAGCAGAAGTTGTGACTTCTTTCTTTAACTTATTTTCCACACCTGTGACTCCCTCCCCCTCCCCTTTGTTTAGCCCATTAAAACTCATGTGGAGGGAAGCCATGCGAAACAAAAGATCACAGAGCATCCTCCACTTTCGCCCGCCTCCTGTGCACCCGCATGTGCTCAGTCGACCACTCAACGCTCTCAAGTTAATGACTGTGAGAGTCACCAGCATCCAAATTCAGCTGACCTCAGATCTGGAGCTCCACCGACTTTTGAAACAAACTCCAAGCCTGCGAATCAAAGGACAGCAACCAGGTGACAAAGACATGTAGAGAACAGCGTTACCAAAATCCCCCCAAAAAATGTTTGTACATGACTGCAAATGTTTTGCTGTCACTGAACACAACTCTCTTATTCAGTAACATCTTTGACCCAAAAACAGCACATTTCTTACAGTTCAGAAGAGTAAGATTATGATATAATGAAACATTGTCCCTGAGGCGGAAACAATCGAGACAGACACGTTCTAGTAAAACACCCACAAGATTCAGTCATGCTTAAAGGAGAACTCCCTGGCATTAAAGTGAACATACCTCAATACGTGTATAGAAACCACTTAGGTTATTGTAAGATGTCTCCTGTGCCCACGAGCCCTCTTGAAGAGAGACCGTGCTGCCAAGAATCATTAGCACAAACTAACCACACGCAGCAGAATCTTTTTCATTCCAGCTTTCAGCAGGTAAAAGAGAAAATTGCAACTTCTAATACTCCCGTCTCTTTCTTAACAAACCTGTGCTTGATGGGAGTTTGACTCGACAATCATTGAGAAGTGGAGTCCTTTGAAATCTAGATGTGAAATACTGCCTGCCTTTATGCTTGAAAGTTGAAACGCTTATCGGTCTGTAGGCAAGAAGCTAAAACTGGTCGATTGTAAAAGTTGTAGGTTTAAGTTTTGATGTTGAACATCCTTCAAGATGAAGAGGATTTATTTATCTATTATTCATTCATGAAGTGGGAGACACTCAGAGCCACAAAGTATTAGACAAGTGTACAAAGAGTATTTATGAGTAAGGGTAAATAACTAATTCCCAAAGTAATATGCAAACATATGATGCCAAAATCAATTAACAGCATCTTATAATGGTTATTTACAAATGCGTCATTTGCATAGCAGACTTTAAGTGAACACTTCAAATGAACACAAATTATAATACCAGGTAATTTGCGGTGTGAAATTATCATATCAGCCCTTTCCAACCACATGGTTTTACAAAACATGCCACACACAAACTGCATCTATTGTTCAGTGTTGCGCACACAGCAGTGATGTTGGAAAGCCTCTGTGGGCTGTGGCACGCCTCTCCACTGAGAGCAGGACATCTTCCACTTCGCAGGCGGGAGACGATATATTTCTGTAATGTAACTCAGACTGCAGAAATGAACTGTAACACTGTGAAGAAATCTCTGTGATGGTGGCTCTGCCTTCATTTGAAATAAATTAATAATGAAAAATGACTATATTAGATTCGATCTCGCCTCACGAAGATAATGTTGTGCAAAGTTTGATTGGAGTTGCGATGTTTTGATTTATTATCGCCTAAATTCACTGTTGCAGTGAAGCTGCATTTCACACGCAGCCAGAACAAGTTGGGAGGACAGCAGTGTCTGCTTTGTTTTTACAAGCTTAGTCAAGTCAACAAGCGTTAGTAAAATATCTCTTCTCACCTTGATATTGCATTTCTTCATTTCTTAAATCAAGAAAGATAACACTCTTTAGCTTTAGTGCTAACGTGCTTATTCAACCAATCCGTCGATCCGTGGGTCCGCCGGTCCATCCATCTGTTTTTCCGTCCGTCCGTCCGTCCGTCATCTGTTAGTCTGTCTGTCTGTCCGTCTGTCTGTCTATACATCTATACACCCCATCATCCATCCAGTCATTGTCTAGGTTGGACCACATATGTGCCACCCATAGAATTACGGGCCTTTCATCACTGATTTCCCACTTTGATGAATGACGCTTGATGAATACAGGCCTTGATTAGAGCAACAAACACATCGCCGTGAAGTCTGGTGTAAACAATGCAGTACAACAAATCGTGTCGAGGAAACATATCAGTTTTAACTATTAATGACTTGCTCTAACACATGAAGAGTGACTGTGTCGCAACCTTTTTATTCAAAGATTATAGGGTAATTTAATTCATAGTTGGTAACAGAAGTGCTTTCCAATAGTGCATTTTTTGAACTTGCATCAGGAAGAATGTAAACAGATAATATGGCCGACGTCCTATTAAAAAATTAGACTTCAGGTTAGCCTGAATTTCCTGCGACCAGACATTAGCCCGGAGCAGACCGGGTAGTGGAGCAGCTGTAGGTCCTAGCTGGGTTTGCTTAGCTTCCATCTCGGCTCTCCTCCCTCTCGACTCCTCTTTCGGATGGCGTGCGGTCCGGCTGGGTGGTCGACCGCGAGCGATGATCGTCTCAAGTTCCGCTCCGCACAAATAAATCCCACCCCCAAGCTCCCTTCCCTCCCATGTTGATGAGTGTATTCTGAAATATGCCACAAATGCTCCAGCAACAAAGACTACAAGATGGCGGCTGTGTCTCCAGAGGGTAGAGCAGGTCGTCTTTTGGGTTCGATCCCAACTCTCCTCCAGCCCATGTCAAAGTGTCCATGTGCAAGACACCGAACCTCAAATTGTTACCGTTCTGCTGGTGTGTAATGGAGAGCGCTTTGAGTGGTCGGAAGACTAGAAAGGCTTTATACAAATGCAAGTCCCTTTACCTACTCCTACGACTTTGTACGGCACAAAGCCAGACAGAGTTACTCGTGACATGAGGAAAGTAGGCCACCTAACACAACGAGACTTCCAGGTAGTTGAGAGGAGACTGCACATCCCCTGGATCCATTACTGGAGGGATCCTCCAACGGGGCAGAGAGCCTCCTAATTGTCACTCACTGAATCGAGTCCTTATCGCTGTGTACATTCATAGTACTCAACCATACCCGACTAAATTGCCTTTGCAGTGAGTATATCCCTGGTGGGCATAATTACGAGTATTACCCTCAACAGCTTTTTTGTTTAAATGGAAGACATGTCGCTCGTTGTGGCTGGATGTTGGCGTTCGGCTTGTCAAAGTGATGTAAAATTCAAAAGCAGCCGTTTTGATTTGACTCTTGATGAGGACGTTAATAAATCATTACCGCAGCTATAAATAGAGAGTTGCCAAGCAGTTGTGAAAAATGACTTCATGTATTTATTTATGTTAAAGCAACAGGATTTAATTATGGATGTTCTGTCGCAAGCTAAACATTTTAGTTGGGGGAGCGGGGGGGGGGGCACAATGGAGAACCCTGTCTCTGTGATGAGAGGCGAAAAGGGAAAAAAAGGATTTTGGTTTGTGCGCATGTGCAGCTGTTTTAGAGGGAGTGAAAAAAAACGACATCTTCACTGTGTGTGTGTGTGTGTGTGTGTGTGCGTTTTCGTGTGTGTGTGTGATGAGTATGAGTAAGCACCTAATGCGCATTGTGCTCTGAATCAACTCTCCTGCATGGTCAATAAATCAGTTCTGATAGGGTCAGCATTGCAGCGTCCAAGGTTTTCGGGATCTCATTAAAAGCTTATTCCACCAAACTCTGTAGTGTTGCTATGGATACCAGTCCAGATTACCAACTACCAAACGTGGAAAAACACAGCACAGGGGCGGCCATTCTCCCGTGATTGTATTTGACGCCACGTGCGCTCCTTGCGATGCTTTCTGATCGGTAGCCCCCCAAATATGTGATCAAACGCTGCAGATTCACAGCCCGGGGGGGGGGGGGGCGAGAGACAGAGAGAGAGAGAGAGAGCCCTCCCTCTAGCTTGGAGTGACACAGAACAGAGTGCATCGAATGCATTGTGATATTCATACAGTTATTAATGCATGATTACTGCCTCTGATGCTGCTCCACACAGAGGCAGGAGGGGATGGAGGGAGGAAGAGGCTGTTGAGTGCACTGGCATGTTGATGGTATCGGGCGTCTGAATGATTGGGAGACAAAAGGCATGACGGGCATGCAAATGAGCCCCGTCTTGTACGAAAGAAATCACCATTAGTCGTGCTGTTTATTTGCCACGAAAAACCTGCATGCAAATGGTGACATTTCCTCCTCTCTGCAGATGCACTGTGGCGGCTAATGTGTTTACAATCATCTCCTCCACTCCACGTTCACATCACCGGCGGCTGGCAGCGCACCAGTGACATCTGATGCTTTCAAGTGCAGTAGATTAGTGAGGAGGGCTCTGGTGATCTGCTCTTGAAACCACGACGTCCCCTCTCGAAACCATTCTTTCTCCTCCAAGACCCTTAAATGACAAAAAAAGAGGCTCTCGCGTGCTGAATCACTGCCCTCTCCACCTCATACCGAAAATCACCGGCGCTTAATGAAGTCACCATGAAATTTGTGTTAACCTAAATCTGGGTTATGTAAGCTCGTAATTACCACACATCAATGTCAGAGGTGTTGCGTAACCTCCGAGGAGGCACGTTACGGAGAAGGCATTTAAGGGAACGAACCTGTGGGGGGCTCGCATGAATGGAAACCTGGTGAATGATCTTTATCCACTTAACGCAGTGAGAGCCTTTCACAGGCGGCACTCCACCGCATGCAGAGCTGAAAAGAACAAAAAAAAACAACGTAGAGCTGCTGTATGCAGAAGCAGTGTTCATGCTCTACTCCGGGAGGAATTGCTGGTCGGGGGAAGAAGTAGCTAGATGGTCTGATGAATGCTTGAGTGGTTGAGATGAAAGATGTGATATGGGGGGGGGGGGGGGGTGACTGCAACATGTCACGGACGGTTTAGTCCATCCATTCAGGGGGGACGGATGGCTGGAAAGGAGGCCGCGTGAGGACGTTTGGATAACGTCACGCTTCTGCTATTGTCATTAACACGCTTGAGCCGTCCTCGACTTGACTGAGTAGCTGCAGGTCAGGCTTTAATAAATGCTGCTGAATCATGTTACCGCACGCACGACTGCTCTCCCCCCCCCCCTACATGGAGCAAATGTCCACGCCACCTACATATGTGATAATAAAAGATGAATGTGTGTCATAGAATAGAACTATCTGTTGTTATCAGGAGGCTTTGTATTGTATTAGTCGGACAAACGCATCCTCTAATGATGTAGGCCCTTTGTGGAGGAGTTTCTGTAAACTCAGCAACTTTTGTTTCCGCTGGATGCTCATATTCTGTTATCAGCCGGTGGGTATTATTAGGTTTTTGCCTCATCACTGGGCTCAACGGAGGGACTGCTCTGTGATCAGCCACAGATGTTCATCGCCGACTTGTCTCATTTTTTCTAATAAAAGGTCTGCCTCGTAGAACTACCACATCTCACAGAAAAGGGAATTATGTCTGTTGTTGTTCCAGTCTGTATTAAACCCGTCTGTGCTTTCTTTTCTTTTTTTCCAGCTGTACATTCAGACCACCACACTGACCATTTCCATGAACCTCAGTGCCTCGGTAGCACTGGGCATGCTCTACATGCCCAAGGTGTACATCATCATCTTCCACCCTGAGATGAACGTGCAGAAGAGGAAGCGCAGCTTCAAGGCCGTGGTCACGGCCGCCACCATGTCGTCGCGCCTGTCGCAGAAGCCCAGCGAGAGGCCCAACGGAGAGGCCAAGACCGAGCTGTGTGAGAACCCCGCCGCTGACCCCATGAGTAAGTAAGGCGAGATGAGACCGACTTTATTGTTTTCTTTTTCTTGGACAATACGGCTGCAAAGACTCTAAAAGATAACATACAAAGACAAAGAAGAAAGACGTGCACATGCCTCATGCTTTACATTAACTTGTTCACTATTGCGATATAAATATTGTTAAAGCCACACAAAATTGTATGTAAATCTCATTTTTCATGTTGATTGATGCTATAGAAAGAGCTGGCCGTGGACTAGAAGAGGTCTGCTCTGTTCTTCATGAGATCTCAACCCCATTTAAGATCTGTTTGAGTCGTTCCTCTGAAGGTAATAGTTTGTATTCAGAATACACAGGAGTCTGTGTTCGTGTCTTACAACAGTGAGGGAACCACAACAGCCTCAGAGCCACATACGTATGAACCAAGCTCATTTAAGTTAACATCAGACAACGTTTTAAGTGTAATCAGGATATGTTACCCGCTGCTTTACAGCTCAACGGTTAGCAATTTGTAAAAGTGGTCACACTGCCTGAATGTAGCAGTTTGTGCGAAGATCGAACCAAATTATGCACCAGAGTTTGTCAAAAAACATGGATTTCATATCAACTATTTCTGGATTACAGTCTGTCCATTCAGTCTACGATGAGTTAATAAAGCTTATGTAGAGATGTGTTCTACAGACAGAGAGCCAGGAGTTGAGATCTACATATATATCCATGCTTGAAGCGTTTCCATCTTTTTTTTTATCTAAGGACGACGAATGAGATGTCTTTCTGTTCTTCATATTTCCTTTCTTGAACCATAAAGTCCCATTCCAGCACTTTAATTGTGTGGTAAAAAGCACGTGTAACGTGCTGTCGCATGGAAGGAGTTCTCTCGGGTTCCTGGTAAAACGGTTTAACCTTTAGCTCGAGTGCGCGGCAGCGAACAAGAAAGGAGACATGGAAGGCGTCTGTGGCTGCGTGTTACTCACTCCACCCTGCATCTGGAACCATAAGCATGATCCTGTGAGCAAAGATAACACCGGGTATTAGGACGTGAGTGAGGAAGCCTGCGTGCTTCCACAGTGAGGTGTTTGTGCGAAACACCAACACTTGAAAGGGTTTCAGCGAGGAAAAAAAGAAAACACGACTGCAAAAAGCTGGAATGTAGACCAACGTTGCCATGGAAGCTCTTTGCTCTCTCTCGCTCTCTCTCAAGTTGTCAGGATGAAGACGGAGATGATTGACAGCTCATGCAAATCACACATCACAGGCCTCCTCTCCCGCAACGCCTCTAATCACACGGAGCCATCGTGGCACCCACAGGTGCGCCCGCCCCTCCACCCCCTCTTTGAATTAAGCCGATGAGATGACAGATTTTACCGGGAATTTCTCCAAGCACCCAACAGTTGTCACACTCATCTGTCGGGAGCCAAATAAGCTCGTGTGTGTGTCTGTTTGTGTGAGTGTGCATCCGTGTGTGACTGAAAGTGTATAAATCAGAGAGCTGATGCAACGTGTATCAGGGGGAGGGGGGGGGGGACATATCCTTCCCTGCACACATGTGGCTCAATGAGCAAATTCCTTCTGCACTGAGGGTGAAACCTTCACATCTGTCGCAGCAGCGCATCCAAAGTCCCCAAGCGGGGCCACGCGGTGTCCTCCCAGAAGTGCACCGCGTCATCCGCTCGGCGTGTGTCTCTCACCTTCTGTCTCCCCTACACGAAGGTCTTCTCGCCTCGCCTCCCCTCCCTGCACACTCTCTCCTCCTCTTGCCCTTCTTTTCCAGCGGCAGGAAGAAGTGACATTTATTCATGGCAAATTTATGTGCATGACCGCCCCCCCCATAGAAACCTGCACTGTGCCTCGTCCGTCCCAGGAGACTGTCCGTCAATTCCTGTAACCATCAGAGCGCCAAATACCTCCCTTTCAGGGCCCATCAGCCCAGTACGACGTCACGCATTGGAGTGATTTACGGGATTAACAGCATTAGCAGTTCTGCAGATTTACATCGGTGCTGATGTGATGTCGTCATAATTACGCCTCTTAAAGACCTTGCAAATCAGAGATTGTTGAAATGCTTCACGTTCCCAATATAGATCGATCAAAAGCAGGCATGTGAGGCTGTGAGGAAGCTTTTCAGATCAATTCCAATGAGTACGGTGGGAAGTGAACAGAACCAGCAGGACCACATGAAATGAAAGCTGTGGGATGAGATGAATAATAAGATATCCATGTCAACAATTAAGATGAGAGCGTAGGGAGATGTCTCAACCCCAGACAAGTAAACACAAACTCACGCATTCACGCACAGCGTCTAGCTAAAAAAAAAAGAAGTTAGTTAGTTAACAAGAATCTGCTGTATATTTACTAATGTTTTATTCATCATACTGGCCAAGATAACAAAATGCAGCTGTAAAGAAACGGTGCGACTTTAATTGCATAGTCCATGGGAGCTGGTCGCCATAGCAACATTAAAGCAGTGGAATGAGAATTTACAGCAATGTCTGTGATAAACAAAACAAAAATAAAATGCACACATGGTCCCTCTCCAACGCACTCGTCCTTGTACTCGGCGTCGGCCCGCTGACCACATGATCCCAGTCTTCAACCCTAAAACAGCCTCTTTACACAAGTCCTGACGAGCCACAAACGCCGTCACTCTGAAGGCCTGAAGCTGGTTCTCATAGCGATACACACACACACACACACACACACACACAGCACCTAGGCACTCAGCCACATTCTGATATGTTTCCATGGCAATCCAGGCTGGGATCACATTGCATCCCCGAGCGTTTGTTGTGTGCTCACGTGTGCGGTGTTTGTGTGTGTGTGTGTGTGTGTGTGTGTGTGTGTGTGTGTGTGTGTGT